GCCAACTCAGCATGCCCAGGAGCAGGGTCAGCCTGGCATGCAGTGCTGGGGATTGAAATCAGGACCCCGTGCTGCCAGGCAGGCACTTTGACCACTAAGTTGTCTCTTTAGCCTCTATTTTGTATTTTATAACTGAGAGATTTTTTTCTCATCTGATTTTCTCTATAGGTTCATTAATCTGGTTGCTTTGTTTTGCTTTGCTTTGCTTTGCTTTGTTTTACTTCTGCTTTACCATTTCAGAAAATTCATGTGGGTGGTTTCTGATTTCCTCTATCTTGTTGTCCTTTGAACTTGTCCTGGGTGGGCTAGAATATTAGAGTTGCATTTTTCTTCTGCAACTTGTCATTTTTTTTAAACTTTTACTGTATTTTCTTTGTTAATGTTTATAAATTGCTTATGATAAGTAACTTTATTAGCAGTATCAAGGCCTTCCTACATACTAAGATGTCCTCAAAGATGTCCTTTAGATATAGCTGTCTTTTAGCTTGTGTTTCTGTCCCAAGATATCATATAACCAACTTATTAGAATGAGAAGTTCTCATCTATAGGGCCTAGCACTTGATCTTTTGTTAATGGACTATGGTGATGATTATGACCCAAGAAATCACAATATTGTCATAAAAGGGAGAACAACTGATCACAACAGGTTGCTACCAATCATGTACCATAAATTGAGAAATTGTTTTTGTTGTTTTTATTTTGGTATAAAAGTTTATGTGAATTATTTAATACTTACAGAAAAAACTAAAAGAATCTTTACAACCAAAAAGTCTGCAAATTTATGGTCCAGATTACACAAAACATTAAAGAGGCTAATTTTTTTTTGCTATTTTTTTCTAATCTTAGTAAATTCCCAAGAAAATCCTCTGGTGAGGTACCTGTGAGTAGGTTTATGTAGATAATAAATATTCTCCTTTGAAGTTTTATAAACATAAATGTTTAAAAGATGTGGTCCAAATTCCAACCAGATTTTCCCACTACTACTTCTTGGACATAAGTAACAATGTGGAGTTTCCATTTATATATCCTTGCTTATGGCAACCTCAGATTACATACATTTCAAAAGTATAAATCATAAGTGAAACATACCTGAGAGTAAAAGAATATAGAAAACTGAGATTAGGATACAGATATGTGCAATGTCAATGGGATTCTGTTTCCAAATATCAATCCCACCAGTCTATTGTAGTACTTGAAATTCTCCCCAGTGTTATCACCACTTTGGATTAAACTGTCAGCTCTCTAAAAGTCTGTGTCAAATGCGAATACATTAAGAGGAATGTAGAGCTATTTACTCCCATAATAGACTACTTGCTGATTGACAGCTTTCCCTAGAGAACCAGAAAACGTGTGGGTCACTGGACCAAAGTGATGTATACAAGGCCAAAGAAAGTCTGTGGTGCAAGACTGAGCCCTTTAAAAGTGTGACAACTAGATATTTTTTTAAATATTTATTTATTTTTATTTATTACATTTATTTATTGTGTGTGTGTGTGGCCAGCTCAGCCCACCAGGGGGCGGGCTGGCTGGCATGTGGTGCTGGGGATCGAACCGCGGTCCTTATGCTTTGCCAAGCTTGTTTCAAGTAGGTGCTTTAGACCACTGAGCCATCTCTCCAACCCGACAACTAGATATTGATGTAGGCTGAGACCAGCATAGCAGAAAGGCAAAGGAAACTCTAAAGGGAAAATGAATATTTATGAGTCTTTTGTATACCAAATATTTTTATTAATGTGATTGTTTTTCATATTCACAATGACCCAGTGAAGTAAATATTAGCATCCTCTACACTTGGAATATAAGAAAATTTATCCAGATTAACATCTCTAATGTGAAAACAGCCCAAGACTTGAACCCAAGTAATGTGACTCATATCTTCACTTAAGATATATATCTGGTGCTCAGTAAAGTGTTGAAAGTGAACTGTTTATAGGTTAGCTTATGATAAGCAAAATAGATAAAGTAATGGTTTTCTTAAAGTGTTCTTGTGAAACATTAAATGTCTCAGTAATTTTCTTCTGAAGATTAGAATGAGAAAATACAATTGCCTGTGATCTTCCTCAAGGCCCAAGTTAGTTCATTTTTAGATACATTAAGGCACTGCGCATGATACAACAGTCTTCCATCTATGGACAGGACTAGTTTGAGATTATACAATGACAACAATTTCCAACCAGTATGCTCCCTTGGGTCTTTTGTAATCACTCTCATATGACTTGAAAACCTGTTCTTCATGAGCCATGCAAATGGGATGATATGTGATAGGAACAATACCAAACATCAGAGAACATTCTATTTGACATTAAAATGATTTAGACAGACATTTGGCTACAGATACAACCTCACCTTACATATCAATTAATGAGTAAGTCAGGCATTATTGTCTATATATAACAGCAAGGTGGGTAGAGAAGTATATCAGTCAGGAATATCTAGAGAAATAGAAAATATAAAAAATAGGAAAGAAAAAATAAGAAAGAGAGACATCAACAAATTTCAATTTACTTCAAGGAAATGGCTTACATGGTTGTGGGGAGCAGATATGTCTGAAATCTGTAGGGCAGAATGGCAGATTGAAAGCTCTTAGAATGTTGTTGATGCAGCAGTCTTGAGGCAGTATATTTTCTTACTCAGGGAAACTAAAGTTTTGCCCTTAAAGCTTTCAAATGATTGTGTGATATGAAAGCTAAAAACATTATTGAGGGTATTCTCACTTAGTGTCAACTGATTGTAGACATTAACCACATTTATAAAATACCTCCACAGCAACACCTACATTGGTGTTTGGCTGAATAAAAACTATAGCCTAGCTAAACTGAGACATAATACTAAACATCAGAAGGCCTAGGTGAAGTTCCAAAAAGAATTTAAATATTACTATCTGCTCATGGAGATAATCAAGAACTGGCCTGTAATAATTTGGACTACAAGAAAAGAAAACTGTACAGTAAATTTACTAGGGCAGTGTATCTGATTTGAAAACGTTAATATTTGTTGAGTCCTCCTGTATATTTGACCTTTAAGTCTTTAACTCATTTATTCATTTATAATAGCAACTAAGAGGTATGTCATATTTACCCCATTTTACTAATGAGAAAAATGCAGTTCATAGAGGTTAAACAACTAAACAAAAGACACAAAGTTAGATAGAGCTGGGTCTCAAAGTCAGATATAGATGAAATCAACTCCCCATTCTTTCTACAAAACAAGTCTACTAGTCTGATTAATATTTCCAAAAGTAGATACTAAGTCCAAGATGCATAGTTTTCTTTGCATAGGTTAGTTTATATATTTATTTTATTTTATTTTATTTTTGTTTTGTTTATAAATAAATAACCACTTTAGTTCTAAAGAGTCAAGAGTCAGTGTTTGGGTAAAGCAAACAAACTTACCTAAGGACAAAGTAGAAGGGGATGAAAAGAAAAGTTTGACAATCATTGTCGTTTTTCTCCTAATACTCTAGTGTTAATCTGCTCCCATATTATTCCTGAATTCACCCCCTCTGCCTTAAATCATAAGACATTTAGTGTTTCTATTTTAGTTCAAACTTAAATTATTTTCTATAACTAATGCATTTTGGAAATGCTCTTTCTAGAAAAAAAACCTTAGTATAGTGAGTTCACTAAAAAGCAAGAAAACTAGTATCATCCATCCTTTCTTACTATCAATTAATCTTTACATAAAAGATTTCTACAAAAATAATTGGTGATGCTATAATAAATATAATAAATTCAATGTGAAGGGGGTGATGAGGTGCCCATAATTAAGTCTGATTTCTTACTAGGGTTCCTTATCATTGAAGTGTTTTACTGAAAGATCCATTTTTAATACAGGAAAATGCTTACATTGGTTTCCTGTGGTTTTACACTTTGCAATGTTAACATGCTTCATATTGCCCTTTGTCTATTTTTAAGACATAATGATAATAATTTATCGCTGTTTTGCTTTTACATAGTATTTTGTCTTTTTAATGTTCTTAACTACATTATTTCAAAGAGATTGTTGTACTTAAAAGAGAAGAAAGGTTGAACCATTTAGTGTAGAGTGAACTGAAATTTGAGTTTTTTATGCTGTGCTACAATAGTCTTGTCAGAGATCACATCGACAGGTGAACAGTTGGATTAGGGGAAAAGTAGTCTTGCTTCATCAGAGGCATAGAAGCAGATGTCTGGTTGTCATGCAAGAGGAAATCAAGAGTCTTTCTGGAGCAAGACAAAAATCTCTAGGTTTCAATCAGAATGACAATCCAAAGAGGATTGTGAGATGTGAGAAGTTCATGTATGTGATAGTTCAAGTCCCCAAAAATGTTCCTCTGTTGGTTTTTTCTCCAACAGTTATCTCAAAGACACCATCTAGTTTCAGACACTATGTTTGTGACCCTGAAGATATATTTATCATTTTGATTTTTTTGTTTTATTACATTACCAAAATTTTTAAAATTTTAATGTTTTATTATTTGCAAATAATTAATGTATATTCATTATCAGTTTAAACTTTACACAGAAAGTAGTAGCCTTTGTCTCAAATTTATTTTTGATACATTCTTTTTAAAGATATTTTATTTTTAATTAAGACATAGTAATTGTATAAATCTGAGTATATTGTGATATATCAAAAATTTTAAATGAATAATGTATTGCAGTTATTTCTGAATATTAAATGATCATCTTTCTGTTATCATGAAAAGGAGGAGGTGCACCAATGTCAGATTTAGCCCTATAGAAAATGAATGTAGTAGTGCTCAGGTATTTTATTTAAAATAGCATTAAAATCAGTTTGTGAATTCTGGGTAAATAGTAGCTGGTGTTATGGAATTTCTCCTCAAGTGTCTACTGGATAATGAAAAGAAGTAATCCATAGAATGAATATTTAGCCAGAGTACATTTTTAAAATATAAGAGTCCCCAAAGAAGTAAAGGACACTCAAATTAATGTATGGTTAACTTTAATTTTATTTTGGTTGCCCATTTGGTTGACATGTCTTATTTTGTTTCTTCTCAGCTTTGACCTTGTAGCCATTGGTGGCATCTCTGTTGTCTTAATCTTTGACCGTTCACCTTTTCTATCTGAGAAGAGGACACTCTGGTTGCCCTGGAATCAGTTCATTGTGGTGGAGAAAGTAACCATGCAGAGAGTGGTATCAGGCCCACCATCCTGTGATATCTCCAACTTCATCAGCCCAAACCCTATTGTGCTTCCTTCACCACTCACATCATTTGGTGGATCCTGTCCAGAGAGGGGCACTATTGTTCCTGAGCTTCAGGTGGGTATTAAACATTTTTTATTATTTTTATTGAGAAACAAATAGTAATGAGACAGTTTCAAGACAGGTTGGTAGGACAGGTACAATAATTAATATATTACATATTGTTGTCTTTGTAGTGGTTATACATAGTACAAGATACAGACATGATATCCTGTCCAAACACTGTTAGTACAAACCTTTCTTCTCATTGAATTAAGAGAAAGTAGCTGTATATCTATCCTAACTAAAGTTATAACATCATGATGGCCAACAGTGTGTGATGACTAAATTCCTTTTTTGCCAGCTCTATAAAGTGTAGCCCCTCATTTTTCAAGGGAAAATTTTAGATGTAGTCTCTTCATCACACATTTGCAGAGATGGACCAGGGCATTAAGACAATATCTGGCCAAGGAAAACTGAAATAAACTAGCTGTCATGAAAACTAAACCCCCAAACTTGACCTAATGAACACTGCTCTAAAGAACAAAGCTAGCTGGCTTAGTAATGCTAACAGCAAATCAATGAGCATGGTCACTTTGAGGTTCTGAAATCAAAGCTCCTTAACAAATCTCTTTTTTTCCCTTTGTGTCCCTTGCATCTTTAGTCTCATTATTCTTAGTGTGATGATTTTAATTGTTTAGCCATGTTTAATAAAAGTAGTCTTTAAGACTGTAGCTTTTTTTAATGTATTTTGGTTGTTGCAGGGTCTTACTATGCAGCTCGGACTCATAATGATCCTTCTGCTTTCAGCCTCCCCAGCAGTGGGATTACAGGCATGCGCCACTATGCCCGGACTCTGGCTGACTCGACCTCCCTGCGGTTGGGGCTACTGCAGCATGTGGTGCCGGGGATCAAACTGTGGTCCCTCAATCATCCCTCCCCTTGCCTAAGCTTGCTTAAGCAGGAACTTTAGTCCCTGAGCTATCTCACCAGCCTGACTGAAGCTATTTGTAGAAAATTTTGTTTCTGACTGTTCAAGTTTATGGTTTTAATAAAACAACTTTTTGAATCTTTCCATTTTAGCATTCCTGAGAATTTTTCTTTTTTGCTTTTTAACTTTTTTGTTAGTACATATTTGCCATACATATTGGTCATATCCATCATAGGGGATTTGGGCCTGTACAAAATATATCTTAATTCTTCTTTATTCTCCATTCCTCTCCCCTCCCTTTAACCTTTCTTCTCCAGCCCATTACACAAACTTTGTTTCCATTTTGTCTCTTCCATCCTCTGTTTTTACTTTTCCCTTCGTGCTCTTCCCTCCCCTCACCCCTGTTCCCCTTCCAGTTTGAACAAGCTCTTTCTACTTCCAGTATCTATCCTCCATTATGCTCTACATTTACACTTTGAGGTTCTCACACAGGAAAAACAGTGCAATATTTAAATTTGTATGTCCAATTTATTTCACTTAAGATGATGGTTTTGAGGTGCATTCGTTTTCCTACAGATGACTCAAGTTTATCTTTCTTTAAGGCAAAGTAATACTCCCATTGTATATAAATAACACATTTTCTGCATCTGTTCATCTTGTAGTGAGCATATGGGCTGTTTCCAAGACTCAGCTACTATAAATTATGGTGTTATAATTATGGACTTGCAGATATCACTATGGTATATCGCTGTAGTTTTCACCCATGAGGAAGATACCTAGAAGAGGAACAAAAGGGCCAAATGCAACCTCTAGTTTTGTTTTTTGGAGTAGTCTCTGCACTGATTTCCATAGTAGTTTATGAGTTAAAATCCAATTAGTAATGAGCATTCAGAATTGTCATTTCAATATTAAGCCATTCTAGTAGTCATAGTACAATTCCCTCACCACATTATAAAAATATTTTAATAATATTTAAATTTGGAAGCCACCAAAACGGAATCCTCAGTCTTACAGATTCTGAAATCAAAAAATATGGTGAAGGGGAAGCTAAATAGCTCAGCAGACTAAGCGCCTGCTTAGGCAAGCACAGGGTGGGGCAGAGGTTTGATCCCTGGTACTGCAAGCCACACTGGCCCAGCCTTCTGGCATGCTGAGGCAGCACCTGAGTCCAGGAGTGGTAGCACACCTGTAATCCCATAACTGGGGAGGCTAAAAACAAGAGGATCACTCTGAGTCTGAGCTGCCTCGTGAGACCCTGTAAAATATAAATATATATATATATATATATATATATATATATATATATATATATAGTTAAAGAAGAGGTTAATGGGCTCTCCAGGATTGCGTTGAATTTTCTTCTGTCACAACATCCCCACCAGCTATTAACAGTGCCCAGAGAATCTCATTTAGGAAACGATCACATAAAAATAATGCTCTTTGGGAGAAGCAGTCCAAAACACTGCCTGCTTCACACTTTTCTTTTATGGAAAAAAAGAAGCGATCAGAAAAAATTTCAATGAGCACATTTGTTCTTCCAATTCTTTCACAGATGTCCTTAGGATCTGTAAGTCTTCAATAATATAAAAGTTTCAAATTTAACTAGGATTTCATGTTCCTTAGAGAAATGAAATGCTAAGGTGGTGGTTGCTGTGTTATCTTGTGCTTATTATTCTTTGGTCATTATGTGATAAGGCACTCAATGTACAACTCCAGTATCAAAGAGATAATATACAAGAAGGACAATTGGGTAAAGGGTACACAAGGAGAACTAAGTCCTTGGAGACAGAGAAATGACCAAAACTCCTGGACACTGAAATGTCTTGGATTTAACAATCTGTTCTGTTAGCCACTTTCCTCCCAAGTTTGGGAAATCAAGAGAGGACAATATCGAAAGGGGAAAATGAATGAAGACATAAAAATGTCCACACTACCTATGTCACTCTAAATGTATTGAATAGGATGGGCTTTTCCTTCAGATGTCTTGTTTAGAAACATGAAAGTCAATAAATATAAAGCTCACTTTTAGTGACCTCTTCAAGCCATGTAACTCCATGTGTAATAATAAATAAATAAGCAAATAAGTAACAGCAATTAAAGAAGCCAAATGATATTTTCACTTATAGCCAACATTTAATATGGATTTCAGAGAAATTAATGGGAGTTATTTGCTTCTCAGCCACAGGTGTCAACTTAAAGTAAATTGTTCCCAGTCATTCATACAATTAGACACAGAAAAATGTAAGACAACATGGGTTAAAAATTTGGCCTCAAGGTCATTTGCACTTTCCAAAGAAAATGAATTTTTTGACATTAGCAAAGATTAATTCTAGGGTTACCTTAATCTTTATCAAAAAATATCACTTGTTAGGCCTGATTCTAGTCCTTTCTCCTACAAAGCCTAGCTTGAATAAGGATTACACGAATGGTTTTGTGACTTAACACCAAACGAGCTTGTGTGTGTTATGTATAAGGAAAAAAAAGACGTTTTATTGGAGTCCATAGTGCTGAATTGCTTGACATTCAGCAGTATGATCTTTTCTTAGTAGAAGTTGGAAAAGATCAACAGTGTTCTGGAAACACTGTTGAAAAGCTGAAATTGTTTTTTACATAGCCCTTCCTGGCAGAGGAAAAATCTCTAGGGTTGGCACAGGCTTGTCCACATGCAGATTTGGTACTAAATTCAAGACCTATAGTCACAGATTCTCTAAGATCCCAGAATAGGTGGTTTGACATCCATAGATCCCTTTAGACTCTTCCAACAGTGCATGCAATATCCTTCTCAGGCTCTAAGCACTGATAAAACCCAATTATTGCTTCTTTTTTTTTCTTCCAGGTTGTGCAGGAGGAAATCCCTATTCCTTCCAGCTTTGTAAGGCTGAGTTACCTGAGCAGCCGAACCGCTGGATATAAAACCCTGCTACGGATCCTTCTGACGCACTCAACAATTCCCTTGGGGATGATTAAAGTCCACCTCACAGTGGCTGTGGAAGGACGACTCACACAGAAGTGGTTTCCTGCTGCAGTTAATCTTGTCTACACATTTGCCTGGAACAAGACCGACATCTATGGACAGAAGGTTTGGGGCCTTGCAGAAGCTCTGGGTATGTTGAACTAACTCTTTGTAAATAACACTTCTAGAGTCACAAAACAGAAAACACAAATTGAGTATCATTTGCAATTAGAATTTCTTTTTAAGAGGATTTAAGGCTGTTTTTTTTTTAATTTAAACACTCCCTTTGGGCCTATTTAGAATTCCTTTTTGATACATTTTTGCTTCAAAATAATTTTAGCTCCCCTTTCGTGATAGCTGCATACCATCAAAATCACAGTGTCTCACTTGTAACTGTCTCCAGAGCTGAATGTTGCCTTCTAACTGTGACCTTTGATGTGGTGTTCTTTAGGCCATGTTTTTGGATTTGACATTTAGACTGTCATTTCTACTTAGAAAGTACAAAATTCTAACTTATAGGCATCTCTACTTATTATCTTTTATGTCTAAGATAGTTAGACTCCATTAACTTGTTACTTCAATAGGTTAAACAAAAAATCATTCTAATTTCTTATTTCTTTTGATTTTATGTAACCTAAAACCTCTAAAACGTAAAGTATTATAGATATCACAGACTTTAAGAGACCCATTCGGCCTACAGATTTTTGGATATTTAATTCTCTTAGAGAAATAACACTTCTAAAAGATGAGACTGTGACAGATTTGCCAGTTTTTTATTTACTATAATTCCATAAAACAAGGAAATCTTCACATCAGAAAGAGTAAAATGATCTGCTTTAAGAAATGATAGTAAATAATTTAACACTGTCAGAGACACACAGAGAGAGAGAGACCCGTCTTATTTCTTTTATGCTATAGAAGACAAAATTTCCCAAAGGACCTGTCACTTACAGGTCTGTGGACTTGCAGTTAGAAGCCAAGGATCCTTGTGCCTTCAGGCAGTACCTCATGGAAACCAGTGCTTCATGGGCAGAAGTAAAGCCTATTGTCAAGCTCTCTAGAGGAGCTGTTTTCATACCCTCCCTTAGAATGTTTATCACGATACAGCAGCCATATATAACTGCCCTATATTTCTTGGACTATAGTGTATCCGTTTCCTCTCTTTTCAGAAGAAAATACAATGATAAAAGAGAGAGAAAGGAGGGATAATCAGAGAGAGAGGGAGAGGGGGAGGAGCCAGCGAAAAGAAAAGAGAGACAGACAGAGAGGGGAGGAGAGGGGGAGAGGGCGGGAGGGAGGGAGAGATGGAGAAGGGGAGAGAGAAGGGAAAAGACAGAGAACTGTTATCTCCCTCAGGGACCTTCATATGCTTCAATACTTATCTCACCTGTGTTGAACTTCACCGGAATGCAAAGAAGAACAGGTTTTGATTTCCTGAAATAATGGGGAATTGCCATATGCACACGTAGAAAAGTAAGGGAGTAGTAGCAGCAGCAGCAGCTTCACAAACAAACCCCTAGAATTTTAGCCTTGTGCAGAATACATTGTAATTCTAGGTTGGCATCTGCTGTCACCTCAAAAACAGTACTGGTTGCCCCTTCTGTAGTCAGAGTCCACTGTTTTCCATGGTAGTGACTTATGACTGAGAAGTTCTTACACATATGACTTGGGTATACTAATGACTGACGACTCAGTGCATCCTTTCTGCCATACTAAACTACTCTCCTTTTGTCTGCCAGTTCTTTTCTGCTATAAGTGAGCTCATTCTGTGCTGCATTCAAATTCCTCTTAGAAATCAAAACATTGTTTTAACCAGATCCCATACAGTGTAGAGTCTGCCATGAAAATAACCATCAAGGCTGCTAGTTAGGAAACAGAACCCAGCTGAGACCCTACTAAAGTGAATGTAGGGGCCGGGGAGATGTCTCAGTGGAATAATTGCTTCCCTGGCAAGCGCAAGGGCCTGAGTTCAATCCCCGGTTCCACCAATAAATAAATAAATAAATAAATAAATAAATAAATATAAAAATAAAGTGAATGTAGTGGTTGTCAGAATGGCGCTGCAGCCACACTCCATCCCTCCCTGTGTTTAGGTCATCCCTTCTTTTCTTACTACTGGGTAACCCTGGTAAACTACTTAATCTTCTAGTGCCACAGTTCTTCCACCTTTAAAATGAATAGCATAAAGATAATTTTACTTACAGAACCACTGTATGTGACAGTTAGTATGACAGTAAAGTGTCTGGAAACTTGCAAGCACTAAACAAATTTTGTATTGCTTTTGTCAGTGTTTCTATGACCAGAGTTCTGGGCCTGTGTGGTATAAACCATGAAGTTATGCAGTGCTGTTGCCTCACTTTTTCTTTCTTTCTTTCTTTCTTTCTTTCTTTCTTTCTTTCTTTCTTTCTTTCTTTCTCTTTCTTCTTTCTTTCTTTGGTATAGGGTCTCACTACATGGCTCCGACTCATAGTGATCCTCTTGTCTCAGCCTCCCCAGTGCTGGGATTACAGGCATGCACCATCATACTGGGTTTCAGTGGCTGGCATGGCATGCAGTACCATGGATTGAGCCCAGGCCCTTGCACTTGCTAGGCAGGTGCTTAGATCATTGAGCTGTGTCCCCAGCCCCTGTCTCACTTTCTTTGATGGGGCCATAGGGGTATGGATATAATAGGCAGTCACTCTGACTTACATAATTGCCACTTTGAAACACACACACACACACACACACACACACACACACACACTCACTTACTCACTCACTCACTCATTTTTTGCCCCTCTCTGAGCTCTGAGAAGCTTGCACTTATGGATTGCATTGCCTGGATGCCTTTGCTTTCTGGATTCCTATTTGATGTAGTCAATCAGTGGAACCACCTGGAGACTGCAAGGTAGAAGAACAAAATCAGGATGCTCATATCTTTTCTTGTTGAATGTACTCTAATATTAGCTAGTAGCTCCTCCTGTGTCTATCCAACCACACTATGGTCTTCTATATCATATTTCCCTCTGCTTAGACCACCAACACCCACCCATTATAACCATCCTTGAAATCTATGAGCATGTCATGTTGTATGCCAAAAGAGAACTCCAGTTTTAGATGAAATTGAGGCTCTAATCATATTGGGATTGGAGATTGGAGACTGACGTAATTTACGTAGATAGACCCAATGTCATCGCATGGGTCCTTAAATGTAGAAGAATAAGGCAGATGTTACATATCAATACTTGATGAAAATTACCTGTTCCATATTATGCCTAAGATGTTTGATATTAAGACAGATAGTGAGGTTAAGCTTAACAGCCTAGGTTGTATGGTAATAACAATAAGCTTGTCTTCTGGAGGGTTAACAACCTAAATTTGCAGAACAAAATTAGAGAAAAAGGAGGGCCACAAGGAAAGCCAACATTTTGGCCCTAGCCTTCCAAGGTCAATTAAGACTCAGGACATATGAGAACTTGTACTGTAACGTCATGTAACTCAGTAGTGTCCCAAATTTTCTGATCAAGGAGATTATGGGTCCAAAGAGGAAAGTGATCGATGATGTAGAGTGTGCCTAAGGAGAGTCACATGGAGAGAAAACATTCTCTCAGGCTTTCACAGAGAGCATATTGGCCAAGCAATGGCCATGACTCATCCACATGGCTGACACTGACAAAGGTACTGCAATCTGAGGTACAGGATCTCAGGATAAATTCTAAGGGGATTTCACTCACCTTATCAGACCCAAAAGCTACAACTCTTGTTGCATAGGTCCTGCTTTACCTTGGTCTTAACCATCCAGCAGAAAAGTATAAAACAAAATATAAGAAGTAAAGCCATGCTGTTATGTTGAGCTGTAGGGGACTCCGGTCAACAATTTCTGACATTACCAGTCAAGCAGAAGACTCAATGCTATTATGGACTACTGGACTCTTTTAGAATATTTTGCTGAGTTAACACACCTATAATATTCAAATAACAGAACTGAACAAGAAAAGAGGATACAGATGAATGTCCATTTTGTATCTGTGTATTCAAAATGGTTAAGATAGATAGTTACATTCTCTTAATGAATAGAGGGATTTGTTTTAATGGTGTTTGTAAATAGGATATGATGTCCGCATCTTGTAGAGCAATTAACCACTATTAAGAATGTATCCAATGTGTTAATTATTGAAACTGTCCTACCAATTTGGTTTGAAACTGTCCCATTGCTATTTGTTTCTCAATAAAATTATGAGAAAAAAAGCAGATGTTACAAGAAGATACAACTATGGGAGAAGGGCACAGAAGGACCAAGAGTTACTGGCTTTGAACATGAGGCACAGTAGTCGCAAAACAAGAAATGTGAATGGCCACTAGAAACCAGAAAAGGCGAAGGAATAAATTTCCTTTTTGAGTCTCTGAAAGGAACTCAGACTTGCTGCCTCTTGGATATTCATTCACAAGGACTCATTTAAGATTTCTGACCTCTTTAACTGTGAAATGATAAAGTTGTCTTGTTTGAAACCCTTATTTTGTGGTCTTTTGTTAAAGTTGCAATGGGAAATGAATACAAAGCTTAACCAACATTCATGCAGTCCCAGTTGTAGTAAGGTTCTTGATTAAAACTATGACTAGAGTCACACTATTCTTCCTTTTTTATGCTAGTTAATTAGGAATACATAACTCACCTATTTCTGCATGGTAGACAAAATGGGTTTCAGATTTAAACAAGTTGCATAGCCTGCTCATGCAAATGCAGTCAGGAGCAGGATACCTCAGTTTGATTCCCACCTCTAATTGCATTACCAGACCTGCCCTTAAGGCAGCTTGAGCCAGCCAAAAAAAATATCATTCTAAACAAGCTGTATTGGGCTGATCAGATAACTTAGCAGATTAAAACACCATCTTCAGCAGACACAAGGACCTGGGTTCAATCCCTGGCCTGCTGTGCCAGCTCCACCCCCGGGGATGTGCTGAGATGGCGATTGAGACTGGAAATGGTGGCATGCCTGTAATCTCAGTGCTTGGGAGGCTGAAAAACAGGAAGGATCACTACAAGTCCAATCTGTGTAGTGAAACCCTGTAGACCTTGTTCTAAATACAAAAAGTAAAAATAAAAAGATAAACAAGCTGTATTGGAAGTGATGGACAATATCTAATTTAAAATGTCTGCTAAGTTTGAAA